TTTACCCTAAATTTTAAAAAAGTCAAATTCCTCTTTTAGAATAACAGCCCCTTAAAAATTTTGGGTTTATTCTTTTTATCATTTTAATTACATAACTGTAATTGATTTAGATTTGGTTATTCCGGCCATTCAACGGGCTGTAGATAACGATTACTTAAGTAAAAATGAATCAAACTACGTTTTTGGTCCTAAAATCTAAAAAATTTATAACTTTTAGCCCAAATGAGTTCAAACTTAAAATATTATTTTGAGACAGGATTCTTTTGGGTTTAAGTTTACATTAAAATTTTCTTTGATAAACATGTAAAAAAAAATGAAAATACATAAATTTTTTCTATTTCAATAGAAACTTATTCAGTTTATTTTATAAAAACTAAAAGGGCAAAGACGAAAACTACTTTACTAGAACCAGTTCTAAAATCTAAAAAACATTATTTAAATACCCCAAAAAATTTTTAATTATTGACATTTAAATAACGAAGCTTTTTAATGGGAAAAATTCCTTTAAATTTTTATTCATTCGTTGTAAAAAATATTCTTATTATTTGAGAATGATAAACTTATGTGGTTCATTTTTATTTTCTTTTTCTTTACCCCTCGGGGGAAATCTTTCAACTTAAATGCAATCTGCCCAAATACCCTTTTTTAAGAGCAAAATTTCAGGTTCACTAAAAAGGGGTTTTTACGGCTCAGAAGGACCCCAACAAACATTTTTAAAACTTCTAAACATTTTTTAAAAAAGTGAAAACATAATGTAAAACTTTCTATTTACGAGTTACTTGAAATTTATTATTTGTCTTTTTTAGGATTTTGCGTTTTAATTATTCCATAATGCATAGGGTATGTATGTTAACGCAATATTTGATGACTCAGACAATTCATTAATATATTTAATATATGCATGCATAATTGGCATTTTGAGAATGATGTGGTTTTATTTCTGTCCAAAGACAATTTCAGAAAAAAATAATTGAACGACAAAAGTAATATAATTTCAATAACTAAGGCAAACAGCATATATAACTTAGTCTGAGATTAGAATATATGATATTTTTACGAATCAATAATTTTTAGAAAGTTGGGAATTATAGTGCATAATAACTCGTGGTCACGATATAGTATCTCGTGAGAATGGATAAATAGAAACACACATGTCTCCTTTGTGCAACCCCGTATTCACGTATCTTTGGAGGAAAACAGTTACTGTTTTTTTTTTAAATCCCGGCAGATTTAAGCTTTATAAACTTTAAATAGTGATTCATGCGCCGATGGTGCTTTATTTAGCGAAAGATTTCAACTATATTAGTAAAAGTTTGTTACCGATTAATTCATCATTTTATTTTCTTAATTTAATAGTCTTTAATGTGAGTGTAAATAATTTATGTTTTTCTCATGAAGGAATATTGTCAATAAAACAGCAGTCGGTAGTCAAAAGACAAATATGGTGTACGCCAAAATGTATGTTATAATTATCGAGACATTTTGGTTAAGGTAGTACACCCCTAATGCACTATCTCCACTTTGAAGAGTATTCAAATAGGCTAAAATCACTGTAAAGTGTATTGAAACTGAGGGGGCGTGGGTTCAAATCCCAGAGGGGGCAATTTTTTTTTTCTTTCTTTTTTTTCTTTTTAACATTTTTTAGTAATCTCTCAGACCCCCTATTGAAGAAAAAAGTGTTTTTTTTTAATTATATAATTATTGTAGGTATTTATTTACTAAAAAATGCCAAATTTGATAACAAATATGATACCAGATATTTTCAAAGTTTAACAGAATAAAAACTAAACGGTAAAGGTATTTTATATTTTGCAAGACCAACCAATATACATTTAAGAAAATTTAGGCAAACTTTGAAAATAGCCCCTCATTTTGGAAAATTTTAGGGATATTTTAAATAAGGCTTTTTACATAGGGAAATGGTCAAATTTAGTGTTAAAGGTGGGTGGGGTAGGGTTACATTTTTATACATATTAAAAACATTTTGTTTAAAAACAATCATTTTGCTTGTTTAATTTGTTACCTAAATGTCATTATTTATTTCTTAACAATGAGCAATAGGAAAACATTTTTTCATAATGATGATATTATAGATTATTTAGAGTTTCCTCATTTCTGAAAAAAATCTCTTCTAATGGCAAAGTTTTAGTTCATAAAAATGTCCATAACTCATAAACCACACGGTAAATTTTGTTTAAATTTTGCATACAGGTGACATTTAAGGCATATAACTGTCCTATGATGTCAAATTAACAATTCCTTATAGTGCCCATTAGGGGTGTACTACCTTAATTGATTGAATTTGAAAGGTGTATATGAAAATGCTGGATATATTAATTAATGACATTTTAAAAACATTGAGTGACTGTAGAATATAAATCATCAAAGCATTGAAAATACTGCAGAGACAGCAATTCAAATTGTATTTTAGAAGATAATTTGTATAATATGTGTTTATTGGCAATAAAACGAGCGTGCTGCATCGCCTCGTGTCCTTTTACGGATTTTCAGAAAATCTATCTATCGGTGGATATATTGTGAAAATCTATGTTTAGGAAAAGCCACTGGATACACTCTTGTATTGAAAAAAATCTGTGCTTGTTGATAATCAGAGGAAAGGCTAGATATATAGATTATATGATAATGTTTGCTATTTGAGATACTCCCTTTAATATCTATATATTAGATGTTTCAACGTAGTACGTTGTTTTTATTGTCATTTACATACAATGTACAAAATATATATATATATATATATATATATATATATATATATATATATATATATATATCTATATATATGTAGATATTTTTGTTATATGAAGGTAATTGTACTTTTGAATATCACTATAATCTATAAACTAGAAGTGTCTCCATTGGACACGGGTGCCCCCTCACGCCACTGTTCTGTCAATCTTATGACTTTATGTCAAATATTTTATTGACTAAATGTGCAACAAGTTGAAAACTAAAAATCTTTTACTTAGTAAAGGGCGAGAACTTTACAAATACTGAATAAATTCACAAGCAAACCCCAAGGTGCATAAGTACACATGCTGACCAATATTCTTGTAAACTTTCAGGCCTACTGTTGAAGTCAAATACATTTTGATCTATGCATGAACAAGTTGAAAATTGCAAATTTATACTACTGTAAGTCAGGGGCAATAACTCTAACAAAACTGAAAAAATCCACAAAGTCCCAGGTGCATAGCTTCATTGTGATGTTGATCATTATTCCTGTTAAGTCGGTTATTCTAACACAACATAATAAAACGGCTTTTACTAAGTCAAGGGCAATAACTAAAACAATACTGGATAATTCCACAAGTGAAACCCAATGTGCACAACTACATATGCTGAGCAACATTCCTGTAAGGTTTCATGGCTCTGTGTCAAATCCTTTTTTGAGTTACATGCGACACAAGTTGTAAATTGCAAAATTTTACTAAGTCAAGGACAATAACTTTAAAATTACTATATAAATTCACATGAAAATACCCAGTGATATTACACTAAATTAATAACTTTATGATAAAAATCTGCACTTAATTCTTTATGTTTGTTTATATGTAACAAATGCATTGCCCTTTCAATAAAGTGATTCATTTTCACAAAACCTTATGAACCTTTTGAACCCTATGATTACGTTTATATGTGATTTTATATCCATCGATTATGTTACTTGACTGTGTAAATTGTTAATAATGCCAACTTTATTCAACAAAATGCACAAATTAATGTTTGATCACAAGCCGCTGTTTTCGTAATCAGCCTGTTCTCCAGTAATGTTCTCTGCAAGAATATTAGAATAAGGATATATTATTAGATAGTAAAACAACTTTTTGTTTATATTTGTGCTTGTTACTATTACAAACTGAACCAGTACAAGTATTTAGTTACATGTTTAAGGAAAGGCCCTTTGCTAATGTTGAGTGAACTTGTGGGTCAACCTTTTTGCCAAATATATTATACCATTGTATTGTAACTGTCTTCACATGTTTATATATTATGTTTCTTTTTTGGGCAATACAATAAGGTTTAAATCAAAATCAATAAATAGCTGTACTTGTATATAATGAAATAAAAGTCATCAATTCGTCGGAACTTACTTTTAGGTAAAATGTTTTTGTGCTGAGATCTCAAAAAAGTTACATATTTCTTGTAAAAATTAGAAAAATAAACTGTTGAAATAATGATATAATGATTGCTATTTACATATCCATCTTGATTAACAACTTGATAACTATTACCTTTCCCGAGTCTCAGCACCTCATACTGTGCCTTATCATTATCCACACCTTGGTCGTGCTGTAATGTTGTGTATACTTGCTGATTTCTGATACGAAAAATATCCCTAGTGGGAATTAATCTGCACATGTATGGTGACCGCATTTTTTATTTATTTTCGATAAGCAGAAATGTTTTTTTATTAACAAATGAAAAAATAACTTGTGTTAGTCCTCTATTTTAAATTGTGCATATGTTAAAGATATACAAATTACAGTATAACCTATATTTGTCGTATACAAAGCTTTGAATAACGAATAAGTCATACATATCGTTTATTTAAATAATACTGAAAACAACATGCAATATAAATTTAAAATTGCATTTCATAAATTTACATTTTAAAAATATTATCAATTAAATGGCATAGCATTTATGAAGCCCGAAATTCGAACAAAAATTTATATATAACTTTACGTGGCTATTAGAAATAATTGTGCAGACATAAAAACGACCTTTAACGTGATTTAAAAATGACGTCAAACAATGGATACGAAAGTTGTCGTTGGCGTTGAAAAAATGAATGTTGAATATTATGATAAAACAGAAAAAAACGCCGATAAGCAGAATTATAAGATCTATATTATTTCCAGAGCTAGAGAACTGACTATCATTAAAATTGATAGCGTCAATGAAAATATAGTAAATGAAGTTAGGAGTTGCTTTCTAGTGGTATCATATATATAAGGGGTTCTGGTCGAGATTTATTTTTCCTTATTTGAGCTTGTGTATCCTCCTCTGCATTGCTTTTGTTCCCTATAAACGTAAAATACAAAATTTATATCAAAATTGCCCCTTTCTTCAAGTATCTGAAACTTGTTGTGTCAACAAATTTAACATAATATATACTTCTTTTTTTCATTTTTATCTATGTAATTGATATTATTAAAGCTACATAAATAGATATAATGCCACAGAAAATTAAAACCATGTACCTCGGTTTTAAAAAATCTTCGAATCTTACTCTAAACTAATTGCTTGTTATAACAATGCTATCAGATGTATTTGGTTAAAATGTAAATAACACGCAAATATAAATGAACTCTTTTTTAAAACATGTATTACTTTTTGACTTTATCTGTTTTCTTCTTACAGCTACAATTATCACAAACGCCAGAAGAATGACAAACAATGCCCATCCGCTGATAGCAAACCCAAGTAAGAATTTGTCAACTGATTTTGTTTCTAAAAAATATTTTAGTGATAGTTTATAACCGGATAATGATGAATAAATAAATAATCATCATATATTAATAGTTGAAAAACACGACAGAAATATGTTGATGCTGTGGTAAAATGTGTATTTGAATATCTCTATAAAGGTCTTTAAAATTAACCTATCCTAACGCTTCACTCGTCGTTTATAAAGATAAAGTAATGACGATAAAGTATCATAATCCTTGCTTGCTTGTTTAATATGTTATGTTCTTATGCCGATTTAAAGCAGCATGCCTCAAGAGTCACAAACAATTGAAAAATTACTTTAAAGAAAGAAAAATGTAAAGTGAAAATTAAGGCACTTTAAATGCACGTAAATTTCCAAATACAGGCAAAATATCCCTTAATTCGGTAGTCACGCTGTAGACATATGGGGATAAATATTGCAAAGTAAATTTTTAAAGGGACTCCACTGAGGATTTTTGAGATGATGGGATTGAAAATATTTTTCCAGATAAATATACCATTTGATGAAGGTTTAGACCACGAATCTTAGTGCAAAATTTCAGATCATTCGCGCACATCGTTTTTCCAGAATAATTATTCAATTTGTAAAAAATGACCCAAAATGAAAAGCGTTTAAACGCTTTTCACTTAAATCGGACTAAGAACCATCAAACTTGAGAACAATGAACTAAGCATCTCAGAAAAGTAAAATTATTTAAGATTTAAGCAACGATTAACATGTTTTTTCGCGATTAAGGGACTCCACTGACGTTTAAAAGCCTACAAACATAACATTTGAATTTCTTTTTATAAATGAGCTGGGGCACATTAAACAGAAATATATGCACAGATAGTTCAGGAAGATACTTTGAAATTAATTGAAAATCGTATATCTATAAATTATTTTGGCACATCTGGAGGCATGCAACTTTAAGCGCATTTGGTCATGTCGCAGCGGTCAATGCACTTTTCAGGCTTCCTGGATATCTAACCTGTAAATGATATGATAATCTACAACTTACTTGTACAAAAAACGCAAATGCAATGTGTACATACTAGACTACAAGACTACCGTGTATCTGTTTATTAAATAATGATGTTGTATGGAATATCTGTATTTGAATGTACGATGACATCCTGGTATAAAATGCAAATGAAATGATTGATTAAATTATTGATTAAAATCTAATCTAATATGTTGTATACAATTATTTAGTTAACATGTCTTTTAAAAGAACTTTCAGAGTTGTAACCTAAAACATTTAAATATCAAAATGTAAAAGTTTTTACCTGTTCCGCAAATACGTCCTTCATAGCCAGAGATACATCCGTCAGTGCAACTGCCGTCAGCTCTCCCACATTTTTTGTTTAAACATATGACACTGCAGTTGTTTTCACAATTGTTACCGTAACTTCCTTCTTTACAACCTTTGAGGCAGAAATCACTTTGTCAGTTACATGTTTAACTATTGCAGTTTTACATACTAGTAATTTTACATTTTACATCATAAGTACCAATAAAACAAGAAGTCTAAGTAATCGAGTGGTCGCTACCTTTGAACCACCAGTCACACAATGCTTTTGGCTTAAAATCTTCCGGGACTTTCGGTTTTTTAAATGTGGAGGAATCTAATCTACCATAAGCTTTAACAATTTGGACGAATCTACTCAGGTTTTGCTCGTTTCTGACCATGACGGCAGGAGCACCCAATGTTTAGGCTTAAAAATCAAAAATTAATAGGTCGGTATGGGATTAAAGCCCACCTTTAAAAAAACCAGTACAACCATTTTTATCCACAATAATCCATCCTTCTTCCTTTGCAATACCAGCGATTGGGCAGTTTTTTGTTACCACTGTGTATTACCTCGCCCAACCATTAGACTCTGGTTACTCGTCATTTCCAAATCTTTAACAAATTTCCAGTGTAATGCGGCTCACATATTCCCTTGACACACAGTTTTAAAAATGGTTTCACTACAATCTAAATCTTCAAAACCGTTCGCCCACATCCAATAAAAAATTCCCCCAAATTCAAAGCCCGCAAACTCTTTCTAAGGGATCGATGGTTTTTTTACTTTTTGGGAAATTGCAAGGTCTGGCTTTTTTTCTCCCCAAATAGGAAACCGAACCCCCATTTAAAATAAAAAAAATTACTTGTTTTGTTTGCAAACAAATTTGACTTTATTTCACAATTGGGGTTTCCCCCCAAGAGCTTAGATTTTTTAAAAGAAAAAAAAAACATTTTCCTTTAAGAAAAAAAAAGAAAATTGGGGTGTATGAAATCAAAATAAAAAATTTTTTTTAATAAAATTTAAAATAAAATTTAATAAAAGCAACCTAGAAGATTACCCTTTAAACTTTTAAAAGCTTTAAATATATTTTAATTTTATATTTAAAATCTTTTTCAATAGAATTACTTGCTTTCTTAGCTTTCGACATTCTGTCTTCTTCTATGATGTTTATAAAATTATAATAAATTTTAAACAAGTTGTTTTTTTTTATCAATTATGTTTAAATTTATTTCTTCAATATGTTATGACACTCATTTGAATATAATTTTGCAGCTTTAGGGAGGCGTGAGTGTGTTGCACTTATACATATCACACCAAAAGAAAAAGTGATATTCATCATTAATGTCACACATTTCTTATTTTATTTCACTCACATAAGTCTTTTTCTCTGCTTCTATCTTAAAGGATATAAAACCATATCAAATCAAACATCATTATAAAATGTAAAAAGAATGTCAAATATCATGTTGTCGATCCATGAAAGAGTTGTATAAAAGAAGGTTTTGCTTTTCAATAAACAAAAATATAATATTGGCATACAATATAGACATAACATTATATTAATTATAATCAGCATCTGCAAGTCGATTTTGTATAAAATTATAAAAAAAGAATTTGCTTAAAAACTGAAATAACTGTTTTCGCTTGAATACGTTATCATCATTAAATTTATCATATTAATTGAACGTAATCGAAGCATGTAAATATTCATATTACATTATCAAGATAAAAATATTCGACTCATTCATGCATCTTGCTTTGATAGCTGGAAGCAAATTTATAAATCGAGAGTGTATGTTTAGTTTTCTAACCAAATTACGGCTGATAAAATTCACAAAGGTATTGCTATATCTGGTTAAAATAACATTACAAGGCAATATGGCATTAAACATGTCTATGTAAATTTTTCTCGAGATATTTGAAAGTGGTAATATAAGCAAATATCTACAATTGTCCATTTGCTTTTTTCAAAATATTAAAGTTAATGTGCCAATATCAAACGTTAAATTCTACTAAATTTGTTATCATTTTTTAGTTATAGCCCTTGATTTACAATAGTTATGTATTACTTGATCTGTAACTTGAATTAATCAATTGTTAAGACTTGTTGTGTTACTTAAAACATAAATATGACTTAAGCCTTTGTAAGTTTAGAGACAAAATTAACATGTCTATAATTTTTTGTAATCATCAATCAAATATAGTTCTTTTTCATTTACTTTGAATTTTAGACGAAATGTTTATGTCAAATGATAAAAGATATAATCATTCCCGTTTTTGATACCTTCACAAAAAATATATTGTTTTTTTTAAAGAAGTTGTGTATCATACATTTTCACGTAATAGAAATGTATAAAAAAATTATGTAAAAACCATGGTGTTATTTTCATCAACTGCCAAATTTAAAAATTAACTATTTTACTGGTTTCAAATTAATTCAACACGATTCAACCGATCTTGAATGCTAATTGTTTCGTGACTTAACGATTAACTCCTAAATATACCCGGTCGCAACAGTACTACACATTTGAAAGTAGTTAAGAATAACAATAAAATAATTTTGATACAAAATTAAATTTCTAGTGTATAAATGTGGCTTTAGTCATATTATACATATAACAGCGGATACAACTACCACAAGTTTCTCTTCACTAAGCACCGGTGTGGCTTATAGATATAGTCAACATGATGTATATTATTGTTTTTGGCGATTAAGAAATAATAATACATATCAAGAACATTTTTTTAAAAAAAAAAACTTTAAATTTTCCTTTTGGAAAAGGAACAAATTATTTCCAAAGTTTCCCTGTGCACTTTTTAACGTATTCATTTTGATGAACCTGAAACCTTTAATTCCTGGTCTAAAACCCGTATTTACAATTTACCATCCTTTTTTTTACAAAAGACTCCCCACTTAAAGGTGGAGAAAAATTTAACCAGAATTTCCCATGATCGACTTTTTCCAGGGACAAAAAAATTTCCCGGGTTAATGTGTAACATTCTTTTTTCCGCTGAAAATTATGCCACAAAGGTTTAATTCTAACTATAAAAATATACAAAAAAAAACACAAAATTTTCGAACGCCGCACCCTTGACCGAAAAAAAGCGTCTCGGATTCCCGGGTATAAATAGGGAAAGTTTAAATTTTGGGTATCTTTTTAAACCCCAAATTAAAGTGCCCATAATGATTATTTTGCAGGGTTTTCAAAAAAAAAAGGGAAAGAAATTGTAGTGTTTAAAAGTTACTATTTTAAAAGGTTTATTAAACACATATTTGCAAGTATATTTTGATAAGTGTATTAGCTGCTCAAATGAAATTTGTCAAAGGTTTAAAAACTGATCAAACGTAAAATAAATGTCTGTTCGCCCATTTATTTTTTTGAATGATTTATATTTGCTTAACAAAATACTACTTTTATAAACAAAAAAATGTTCACAAAAATGAATTTTAAAGGGCACATATTTTGAAAGTTATTTCCATCGCATATACCATAATTTCTTAACATGTAAAAAATGTATTCGGAAATTAAATGAAAAGGGGGAAAATAAGCTTTCAAATAACCGAACTTTTAGCAAAACGTATTTCGGTTAACTTAAGAAAGGGCTTTATATTTTAAATTTAGTTTTAAAACGGTTTGAACGCCAAAACTTGAATGATTTCTGTGGACTTTAAACTTTTTACAAATCACGCTGCTTGCCTACCATTGTTCCCACATATGTATTCTAATCAAAAATTTCTTTGTTGCATTTGAGCCATAAAATCCATCTTTACAACAAATAAACCCTGCTTGTAGTTTATTAAATTATCTATGCCTGTTTCATCTATAAACAATTCTTACTGGCATAGAATTTTTTAGAGCATCGGTCCTGTCAAAAGCCTTTTCTTTGCAACCCGTGTAAACATTCTGCAAGTGTTATTGTATCGGTTGTATATAAAAAAAACTATCCTCTATGAGTAGCATAATAATACTATTATATTTTTTCAACACGGTCAATTTGGAAATACCACTTAAAGTTATTTTCATTTTTATCATGTTATCAATAAGATTTAAATAAATAATTTAATCAAAAAGATATAATTATTAGAATTTTTAATTTTATGTATTAAAATTTTTTACACTTTCCTAACAGAAAAATTTGACAGCCCAAATTTAAAAATAAAAAATTGTTTATAATTTATATTTTTCTTTTAAAATTTTTAATTTAAGCCCCTACATAAAAAAATTAAACCCGAAAATTTATTTAATAAAAATATAAAAATCTCCGGGTTAAAAATTTTTTTTAACTAAATTTTAAATTTAATGATTTTGGAAACGGTTAAAATTTAAATGTTTAAAACCAAAAACCCGGGAAAGTTTCAAAAATTATAAATTTTATTTTTTTTCCAAAAAAAATTAAATCCCTTAATTAAAATAATGTTTAAAAATTTTTCTTTTTTTGATAAAAAAATATAAAAATTACCCTTCCCAACAAAAATTGTATTAAAATAAATAGTGGAAAAAATTTTGTTTTTTCCTTAATTTTTTAAAAATTTTTAAAAGAAGAAAAGTTGTGGGGGAAAAATTTAAACTCCTTTTAAATTCAAAAGGAATTAAAGGGGTAAAAAAATTTTTATTTAAAAATACTAAAACAAGCCCTTTAAAATTTTGGGGCATTTGAAAAAGATTTTAATAAAAAAAAAAACCCAAATCCAAAAACCAATTTTAAAAAAATTTTATTAAAACTTTTTAAAAACCGCCCAAAATTTTTCCGGGCCAAATGTTTTTTAAATTGGGGAAAAAGTTTTCAAAACCAAAAACTTGTCAAAATTCAAAGGGGCAAAATTTGCAGCTAATATTAAAATTTTAAAAAAAACCCAAAAAATTTCCCTTGTTTTCCAAATTTGGATTTAACCGGATTTGTAGCATCTTTTTCCCATTTGCACGAGTTTATAAGATAAAAAAAAAAAATTATTCCCCTTCTCTTCTTCCTCCATCCCCCTTTATTAACATTTTTATCGCTCTATCTCTTCCCCAAAAGATTCTCCCAAATTAAATGGTTCATACTTTTCATCACAAGTTAAACAGACACAATAAAAACTAAGTTTACAACTCTTTGTTTTATAATGATTTAAATTAAATGAATTTTATACCCCTATTTTTGTAAAAGAATACACAGTAACCCATTTGATCATTCGCATACATTATCGTTGATAATAATTTTATGGGACATCTTCAACAATACCTTCCCCTCCCCCACGTCGGGGTAGGGGTTGGGTATCCCTTGGCAGCAAAAGACTGTCATTCGAACTTT